CGTTTGAGTCGAGCTCTAAAAGAAAAGCGGCCACTATACGGGCAGAGACACGACAAAGTCATTTTGTTACATGACAATGCTCGGCCACATGTGGCAAAACCAGTCAAAACTTACCTGGAAACGCTTCAATGGGAAGTTCTACCTCACCCGCCGTATTCACCGGACATAGCCCCCTCGGATTACCACTTGTTTCGGTCGATGGCGCATGGTTTGAGCGAGCAGCGCTTCCATTCTTTCGAAGAAACCGAAAAATGGGTCGATTCATGGATTGCGTCAAAAGATGAATCGTTTTTTCGACGGGGGATTCAATTACTGCCAGAAAGATGGGAGAAAGTGGTCTCTAATGATGGACAATACTTTGAGTAAAGTTATTGTAAGCCTTATATTTTAAATTAATGTTTTTTTTTAACAAAAAAAACAGCGAGAACTTATTCAAGGTCCTAATAGTAAAATTTATTTGTTGATATCTCTATGTTCACATAAACTAAATTGAAATATTAATTGATAAGATTAATCAAGATTCTAATCTCTATTTTGTTATTAATTTCTGATAATTTGATTGAATATTGATCTATTTATTAAGAATTATTAAATGTAGTTTTTTATTAGTTTCGGAAAGATTAAGTAAAAACATTTTTATATTTATTTAACAATTATAATTAATTATTTTTCAATTTTATTATTAAATTTGATATTTTGAAGGCTAAATTGCATACAACACGCGTGCAATGCTTTAATATCTTAAATTTAAATACAGTTTTAATAGAAAAAATATTTAAAAGGATTTATTGTTTTTAATAATCTACGCCACTTTTGAAGGCCAATCTTACATTACTCAATGGTCATAAAAAAACAAAAGGGTTATTATATGGTGATATCAGAAGCATTATTACGTATATTGTTTTGTTTTTATAAATATGATACAAATTAGAAGCGTTGGCATGTAAATTTATATTTTACTATAGCTATTTAGAAATATTGACCTCATTTTTTATAAGTTTAACGTTTTCAATAATAACAAATCGTTAGTTAATAATGAATGGAAGTCACCGCATTTTTATAAGTTATATATAGAAATAAAATATGAAACTATGTTCTCGGAATATATTTACTAAATGAACAGCAATATTATGTACAACATGTCACGCGTATGTATATGTCGGTGAAGGTTCGTAATAAATCGTGACCTTCTTTTTCTGTAGAAAATGTTATTAAAACGATAATGTCGATATAAATGCAACTGTTATTTAAAATAATAATTTTGTTGCAATCCATAAAGTTTCTTAATCTTGAAGTATAATTTTTGTCTTTTGCAGCATTGAAAAAATGCGATTTTATTTATAATATGTTTACTAATATCTTTACGTCATTTAGATGTATTTAGTAAAATTCTTCATTTTATCACATTATTATGATTCCTTGATGCAACGTACTGGTATCAATTTTGATGTTTTCTTTATCGAGTGTTTTCAATAAATAAATTATATTAAATGTTGTCTTAATTAATGCGCGTTTAAAAAATATTTTTTTTTAATTTTGCTTATAAGTTGAACTCGTAAATATTTATGCTAAATAATATACAGAATAATTCATGTAAATAGTAATCTACAATTTTTCTGTCATCGTAAATTTCGACTAACATTTTAAAATATTTGTAGAAATTTTATAAATCAAATTTTTCATTATTATTACGTATTTATTATAGAAATTATATTTTTATCATCTTATTAACGTAACATTTTTTTTAATTTAATTTTATTTATTATATTTATACTTTTCTTTGTTTATGCTTTCTATTATCAGCAGCTAGGTCCGCACAATTCGGCGGTCAGAAGTCGATTAATTAGCAGTTCTCGTCGTGACTGCTTGAAATCATCCAAGAATGAAGTGCCGTTGTCGATTTTGCCGAGTGGTTGCGCTAAGGTCGGTGGTATAAGTGCCGATTTCACCAGCAATTTATTTATTCCGAAGCTGGAGCTTGTTCAGGCAACCACAGCATTGCGATTACAGCTTTTATCAGTTTATTGATTGTAGTATTAAACTTTGACGGTGATTTGCGTTCGCGATTAAATTATTTATGAATTTTCTAAAAGTACAAAGTTTTGCTATTTTTTAAACAATATTAACAGATTTTAAGTTAGTGCTCTAAAAAAATTTTTTTGCATTAATTCAATGCCGTGTGCTATTTCGTCTCTGTGATATCATCTTGTGGTATTTCAACAACAATATAGTTATTATTGTTTAAGGGATTCTTCAGTCTGTTCTTCATTGAATTCTTCAAAGCTCAGAGATAAATTTTGGGTGAGTATTAGAGCTGTAGTTTTAGTTATTAATTATTAGATTAAAGGAAGATTTATTTTATGCAAGATTAAAGGAAGAGAGAAGAGAGAGAGAAATATATTTTTCCTATATTATACTTATATATATGTATATGATTGTCCAAAATGTTATATTTGACTGTCTATAATGCACTTTCAAATCTAAATTAATTTTTTACCTTGATTAATTGCATAATTTTTCTATCATAAATGTATAGATTTTATTTTTTACTTTACGTTATCAAATTTTGCTGCAAAAAATACAAATTTATTTGACATTCTTAATTATGTCATACATAATTTTTAAGCTAATTAAAGTACTGTATGAACAAGTGAACGAGAAGCAGCATTTTCTATAATTTCTTCGGTATTTTTTCTTTAATATAAAAAGTATTAAAATAATTTGTCTTTGTTTTCACTCAAATATTAACGGAGACCCACATTTAGTGCTAAATATAGTCGTGCAATGTTTAATTTATGGTAATATCCTTTTTAACTAACAATTAGTATCAATGAACGCATATATATAAGGTGCAAATGTGGGTCATATCGTCCAAATATGGGTCCAAATATGCGAACACTTTATACCACATACTATTTATAGTATGATTTAAGAACCAAACAGTAAAAGCGTAGTCATGAATATTGGCATTTCGGCCAACTTAATCTATTTAAGTCACTGCTGTCTGGAGCAGACTATTTTTTTTAATCAACCAGTCTTTGTTACGTTAAAATCTAATAATGTTAGATTTGTAACATAAGATTTGTAAATTGTAACACTAGATGCTGGCTGTTATGAGATACTTAAACAGAATTGTTTAGAGTCAATCTAATTATAATAAAGTACAGTTTCAAATTTCCATCTCGATTACAACATAAATTATAATACTGATAAATTGTATATTTTATTTTTACTAAGAGAATATTATATCCTTAATTATGCAATGATAAATATAGTTAAAAACGCTTTTTTGCGATAATATTTGACTTTAGCTATTAAAAGCATCATCTACGATAATACCAATGGCAATTTGATACCGTATCTTTCGGTTAAAAGGAATTACGTAGCTGGTGTTATCGCAAGTAATGTTTTTCAGTAATTTAAATAACATTGCAACAGTCAATATATATCGAGATGGAAAACTATTTGCGCAAACAATATTTTTGAAAGAAACACTACGGTGCTTCAGCAAATCACATGTTACAGCATGTTGATTAATGCAAACGCATTGTACTTGTAGAACCAATTAAAAACTATTTACGTTTATTGTGTAATTTATTTAATCCGTTTGAATATCTGTTTGGACAAATTTTATTGAAGCAGTTTTTTTTCTCATAATTAATCATGTGGTAACATTGCTGTAGCGTATAACTGACTGAATATCGTCATAGGTAGGTCAAGTACAATTGGTTCATTTGAAGTACGCCAGTCACGTGTGTGTGTGTGTCATTCACAGTATGAAAAAACCAGCGCAATTGGTGTTGTAATCAGTGTAACGTGTCATGCGATTATCCATAGTAGACACAGATTATGATAAAATTAAAATTGTGGGTACAAAGCTGTCAGCGTAAATTACTTTAAAAATTGAGAAAAAAGTATTATGCACGAAAGAGCGAGAGAGCGAGAGATAGTATGTGTGTGTGTTTTGTAATAAAAGTATAATCACTTCAAGAGTTACGCAATAATAATATCACAGACATATTATTAAATGTTGCTCTGTAATCTAAAAAAACTGTTTTTTAAAATAAAGCACGTAAAGATACATTAAAAGAAAATAATTGAAAAATGATTTGAAACTTATCTTATCACTTGTCACTTTATTTATTTTTTGATCAGATTATTTAGGTTGCTTTGAAGATAAAGTTTATGACTGATTCTGAAAATCAGAATATATCTATTTCGCACATTTGCTTTCCTTCTCGAGTAAAATGTTTTATTATAATTTTTTCACGCTAGTGAAAATTGTACAGCGGTTGAAACCTGCATATGTCATTAGTCAGTGAAAAAATTTGTGATGTAAAAATATCTAGATAAGCGAAATGTTGTTTCCATACTGCTTAATTTTAAAACTGCATTTAAAAAATAAATGTACTTAAAAATAAAAAAATAACAACAAGATTGTTGCAAAATTACCTTTACGAAGCGACATTTCGGAAAATCTCTTACGGTTTCTCACGTTCTAGCATTTATGAAAATATTATCTATATAGCGCACGTGTGTTATCATTATAATATACGTGTATCAATGTGCTTAATTTATGTTCCGTTAAATAATACGAAACGACTCGTTTGAACAATGGAAATGGCGCTTCTAAAAATATTTTGTAATAAATATCGACACACAAAAATTTTCACATGTAAATAAAAATGTATATTTTAAAGTTTTCCGCGATTTTATTTCCATAAAATATACATATTTTGTATTTGCATGTTAAACTGTTCGTACTTGTTCAAATGTTAAGAAAATTGAATAGGGCTATGCAAATTTTGCGACTAAACTACGTAGTAAGCTTTTTCCATTGCAGTGTACCAGTTCGTGCAAAAGCGTCGACCTTGAATAAATGTAGAAAATGCAGTTTAAAATCACTTAACTCGAGATAATAGACAGCACTGAATGTAAAAATGACCATTAAATATGATTAGCGTAAATTTTCACAAGATTTTACGTAGAATTTTTATTATGCACATTTCATACACGTTATAATACAAAAATTATATTTATATACAACATAAAACAATATGTAAAACTTTACAAGCTGTTATTTAAAACAAATAATGTTATAATTATGCAAAATTAGTATAAATGTCAAATAATGTATTTTCTATTATACATGTATGTTAAATTAGAAACAGAACATGCTTTTCGTTAATGTTTGTTAATTAGTTATTTGTTGTTTAATTTACAATTTTAATTATCTTGCTAATGTCGTTTTTTTTATTAACAGCTCACTAGCCGCATCGTCTGACTATTCGAAGAATCTCCGCTTGACTCACACAAAAATCTACAAAAAGAGAATCTACCCATAAAGGATATTCAGAATTAATGAAGCGGTCTTGATCTTCTATCGATATCTATATTATTTTTCAAAATTTTAGTTAAATACATTGTTTAAAATAAATAAATAAATAAAAATAAATAAAAAAGTAGACAAAACAGTCTAATATCAATATAATATAAATAATTTATCTGTCGAAAAAGTTGCGAGAACAGCGATTTGAAATTTATTGATATCTGGTGATCGACTGGCATAATCGAGGAAGAGCATTTATACGCGACTTATCTGGAGTAAGCACGATATTGGAAAAGAGGTAGAGAAGTTTCTCGAAGCTTGAACGAACATACGCGGGAGGTACCCCATCGTCGAGAGAAGACTGTGGAGGGAGAAGGGAGCCGAAGGTGGGAATCGGACGCCACGAGACAGTGCGTCATCCTTGGAAAAGGTATATCCAGTGCATCGTTAGCCACGGATTTAAATGGCTCGATCAAAGGTAAAATATCGCGCGCGTACTGAACGAAAAGATGAAGTTGCGTTGAACTGAATGTGTTCATCAAGAAATTTGGCAGAATTATTGAAGACAGTGTGGCATTGTGGATCAACAGAGACTATATATACTTCAGATAGGACGCATTCTTTCTTTGTTGATAACGAGACAGTTAAACTCCTTACTATTGTACAAATGATTTGTTGATAGAAAATATCTTGAATAATTACTGGCAATTATAAGGATCGACTGAGGCAATACGCAACTTTTAATAAAAGAGATGATATTATTAAAATAGAAGAAAAAAAAACTAATCTTTGTTCTCCGTCTTGTAAAAAACAATTTATTAATAGCAAGTACAAGTCAAACTATGAATTGCTAAAAAAGATTACGAAAAAAGAAAGTGGGATCAATAGAAAGAATATATGATTGACACATTTTTATCGCGACAGAATGCTATCCTTATCTTCGTGAGAAAAAAAGAGCGTTGAACTTCGTGCTCCATTTTATACTGAATGATTCATTACAAACAAGTGATAATCACAAACGAGTGATAATCACTTTTCAATTAATTGTTCACTTTTAACTAACTGTGAGAGACAGAGGCGTTGTTATTGTTGAGTTACTTTCGTATAATTATTCTTTAGTGTCGTAGAAAAGATTTTTAGAGTTTGACGCTAAATCCGTTCTAGAGGCATTTCAAAGGAAAAAGCAGCTGCTAGGCCGAAATTGCTCGGACGGGAGAAGCCAAAGAAGAAACGATTTCTGTGATAATAAAAGAGTAAAAGAGAATCGAAGGAGAGTGGAAACAGGAAAGCCAGAGAAAAAGAGACAAGTCGATAGAGAAAGAGAGAGAAAAAGAGAAGCCTACGAGTTTAACTGCTACACATGGAACCGATTTAGTAGGCGCACGTATTTTGTTTGAGGAAGAAAGAAAGGAAGGGAGCCGTTTGTTGAGCAGTAAGAGGAGTGTTTGAAGATAGACGCTAAAAAACATAATAACAAAGAAAAAATAAAAAGGAGAGAAACGAAGCTTTACCTGAATTAGAATAATTTGATAAAGGGACAAAGAAATACGTCCTGTCATCAAGATGAGTAGTTTGACTAATTCGCGTGTTGCCAGAGATGTATTTGATGAGGATGCTATTGTTAAGAAGGAACGATGGCGTAATCTCATAGCCTTTTGGATTTTGGGGCTGTGCAACAATTATGGATACGTCGTAATGCTTAGCGCGGCTCATGACATCCTCAAAAGCAAGTTCGGTGAGGAGGTGAGTAATCATAATTTACATTTATTTACCGTAAAAAATATTGAAACTAATATCTGTCAAAATTTGTGAAGAACTTGGAGAATATACTTAATATTTTTTAATTAATTAATTTTTATTGTTGATATAAGCTGAGATCGCGGCTCAACACACACATATTATTACATATGTGTATTCTGTTTTCTAGCGTAATAACAGATTAATTTTAATATTAAAAAAGAATTTTAATACCTTTTTATTTAGCAATTTTTTACACACTGTTTATAAAATAGAAAATTAATTATGTTTAATTTCTAATTAAAAGTTTGATAGAATTTTACCATTTTATTGATTGCATTAATGATATCCGTTACTTTTACATTCACAAAGATGTTCTTTTTAGTCTTTACAAGCATGAAAAAATATTGAGTCATTAATAAATTATGTAACAAAAAAAAGATTTTTTTTTTCCGAGAAATGTAATTGTTGGATGTAAATACACTAGGAATTATTAGTGTACCTGATTATACAATATGCAATCTTCGAATTGTAAAAAATGGAAAATAGATAACTCTAGATAACATTGATAGAGAAATATTTAAGAATTTAAGATTAATTACAGTACAAGAAATCAATAGAATATTTGATATCTATTTTTGAAATTTATTGTTAGGCAGGCTACCTAAAATTCAATGGAGACACTGCTATTTTCTAGATAAATTCACATAATTATTTACATTATTGTTTTCTCCAGATAACAATAGCATTCATAATAATTGATAGTGAGTATCAGGTTCATCTTGGCATATGGTATGCCAAACGGTGCAACAAACTGCATTACTTTATTCACAAAGACATAATTATTATTTGTACCGCAAACTCCGAAAGACTTTTAAATATTACGTCTAGTTTCTGTATTTTATAAATCTCGTCACTTTCTTATTTCTGTAAAAAAGAAGCAGAGTTTAAAGAATAAGAAATATTTTATGATAATAGCATATATTGTAAATCTTTAAATTAATTTTTACTGATATAATTTGTTATCAATAGATATTCTTGTGCATTTGCTTTAAAATTCTCAGATTTTTTATTTTATGAATCTTTATCCGATAATAATCGGGAACACAATATCTGATAATGCAACAATAGAATCTGCGTAAGATATTTTACATCAACAGATACTTGAAACTTACTAGTCTAGATTTTAAAGTACAATGCGTTAAAGAAACATATATACAGATTACTATTAAAAACTATTACAGACTCCTATTAAAAAATTATATTATGTGTCTCGTTCTCGATGATATTATTGTAGTCATGCTTGTCATGCCTAGTACCACAACGTTTAGCGCTTATAATTTTTTAAAACTTGGCGCCTTTCCGCCATTTGGTGTCCTCCTATCCTCATATTGTTTCGTTGTGCCGAGGCATCAAGACGTGTTAGCGATCAAAATTAAGAAGATAACGTTCTTCCAGATATAATAGGATGTCAGAACGCAAAGTTAAAAAGCGAGCGAGATCCCGATCACGGGAAGATCGTCATTCTAAAAGAAAATTCGATCAACTACAACAACATGTGGATAACCTCACAAAAATCGTCGAGAAGTTGGTGAGCGTCCAAAAAGTACAGACTGCACCAACAGTCACAAAAGAAAAAGAAAATTCGTGCAATACTAATATAATGGGTAAGTAAAAACATAAAGTCGCGAAAAAATCTTATCTTTCCACACGAAAGTTGAGAGGTTAACCCACACGGTTTTACCATAGTCCATACGACTTACATAAGACGTCAATGTGATAAAGTTCAACAAGAACGTTAGTATCACAAATTGCACAATAAGTGCCATGTGTCTTTACATAGAGAATCGTTGTGATAAAGTTTCAATAAGAACGTTAGTATCACAGATTGCACAATAAGTGCCATGCGTCTGTATATAGAGATTCGTTGTGATAAAGTTTCAATAAGAACGTTAAGATCACAAATTGCACAATAAGTGCCCTATTAAAAAATCTTTCTTTCCTTTCTTTTTGTTAGAAAACGAGGAGAATAAAGAAAATAATCCGAACGTGGAGGAAATCGCAGATGTCGCAATCGGAAAGGAAGAGATAACGGAAATGGTTTCTGAACAAGAAAAAGACAGCGCCTTAAAAGTATTGGGAATGGATCCCAAGGATTCCAAATTCAAGCAGGTTAAATACCATCCAGAATTAAAAAATACATGGCTAAAATGGAAGAATGTAGGCCTTCCAGAGAAAAATAAGAAGGAGACTTGGAATCTTACAATAGAAAAGGCTTATATATGGAAGCTCCTCAGTTAAATTTGGAAATAATTCCATTGCTCACAGAGGTTGCAAAAAAGAGGGACCAATATTTTACAGATACCCCAAATTGTGTTGGTACAGCCATAGCCGCCTTAGGTGCTGCAGTCTCCATGTTATTAGATCCTCCAGAAGAAGGATTAGATGAAGACATATTTACCGACTATATAAGCCATGCTGGGCAGATCTTAACAGATGTCTTTCATCAACAATCAATAGCGAGAAAGTCATTCATTACACCACAATTAAATAAGAGTATTAAGCCAGTGGTGGATACAATGTTCTCAGATGATTGGCTTTATGGAGATAATCTCAAGGAAAAAGTCAAGGATGTGAAAGAAATAGAAAAAGCTTGTACAAGCCTCAAAGACAAAACGCCACAAAAACACACATTCAGGTTTCGCGAACAGGGAAACTCGAAATACCCACCTGCGGGATACCGGCAAGTGGGTCAACAACCAAGGCGTCGACAAATGAGATTCAAGACAAAACCATTCAAAACCTTCCAGGATTCGTCCAAAACAACTCAAGCACCAAACCAATCATTGACGAAGAAATAATTCCGGTAAATAAATCAGCAGGGCGTCTTAGTTTTTTCATAGAAAGATGGAAAAGTATTACCTCAGACAGGTATATTCTAAACTGTTTAAAGGGTTATAGAATTCCATTTATAGAAACACCGATTCAGAAATTGGTCCTTAAAGAAAAGACCTTTTCTGCTAAAGAATAAAAAAAATACAATTAGAAATTAACAAACTCCTTAAAAAAGGCGCGATTGAGAAATGTAAAGATTGTGAGGGACAGTTTCTTTCTTCCTACTTCTTGATTCCAAAACCTGATGGTACGAATCGTTTCATTTTTAATCTTAAAAAACTAAACAACTTTATTAACCCCCCACACTTTAAATTAGAGGATATTCGATCAGCAATGAGTTTAATATCACAAGGAAGTTTTATGGGCTCTGTAGATCTTAAAGATGCATATTTTCTGGTTCCCATCTACGAGGGTCACAAAAAATTTCTTCGTTTTAAATTCAAGGGAAAAACTTTCCAGTTTTTGTGTTTACCCTTTGGATTATGCACTAGCCCGTACGTTTTTACTAAAATTATGAAATCTGTTGTCAGTAAATTGAGACTACAAGAAATAGTGTTGGTATTATACTTAGATGATTTTTTATTTATTCACAAATCAAAAATTATATGTGAAGAAAATATAAAGAAAGCAATAGATATTCTGAAATACTTAGGATTTATTATAAACTATCAAAAAAGTTCTTTAGTGGCTAATCAAAAATGTAAATATTTAGGATTTATTATTGACTCAGTCAAATTTTCTTTAAATTTGACAGATAGAAAAAAGAATCAGATAATAGAACTGATAAATGAATTTAAAAGCGGAAAAGCATATAAAATTAGAAAATTCGCTAAACTTTTAGGAGTTTTAACATCAACTTGCCCAGCTGTAGCTTACGGATTTATTCATTGCAAAAGATTAGAAAGACAAAAATTCCTAGCCTTAAAATTCAATGGCGGAAATTATGAAGGAAACATCTGGATAAATGAAGCTATGTTAGAAGAGTTACAATGGTGGAAATTAAATGCGATTATTGGAACAAACCCAATCAGAACTCAAGCTTATATGATCGAAATATTTTCTGATTCTTCCTTATCAGGTTGGGGTTGCTACTGTAATGGTTCAGATGCCTTTGGTTTTTGGAACAAACAAGAGAAGAAAAATCATATTAATTACCTTGAATTATTAGCGGCCTTTTTTGCGGTGAAATGTTTTGCGTCACAGTTATCACAATGTGAGGTGTTACTAAGACTAGATAACACTACCGCTATTGCTTACATTAATAGAGCTGGTGGTGTACAGTATCCACATCTTAGTGAGCTTGCGAGAAAAATTTGGAAATGGTGCGAAGAAAGGAAAATATGGTTAAAGGCATCATATATTCCTTCGGCGGAAAATATAGAAGCTGACAGAGCGTCACGAAATATTAATATAGATTCTGAATGGGAACTTTCTCAGAAAGTTTTCAAACAAATAGAGAAAAAATTTGGTCCTTTTTCAATAGATTTATTTGCATCTAGATTAAATACTAAATGTAAAAAATTTTATTCTAGATTCCCGGATCCAGAAGCGCAATCGATTGACGCCTTTACTGTATCATGGGAAAAAGAGGAAAATTTTTATGCCTTTCCTCCCTTCGCACTCATTCTGAAAACATTAAAAAAATAATTAATGATAAAGCTATAGGCACTATTGTAGTACCGTTATGGCCCACTCAATCGTGGTACCCCCTTTTTTCATCACTCCTCATTGAGCGCACTATCATATTCAAACCTAATAGTACGCTATTATGGGCTTGTTCGTTTTAGCTGCACTGGGGCAGCTCTGGGTCTGCTCTAAACAAGATAATACAGGACAAACTATTTATCTGTCCTGTATTATCCTGTGTAGAGCAGACCCAGAGCAGCCCCAGTGTAGCTAAAACGAACAAGCCCTATTATCTCCTTACAGAGACAGGAGCCATCCATTAGGGTCCCACCTTTCATTAATGGCAGGCAGGTTATCAGGTCAGCATTCTTAAGAAAAGGATTAACAGAAGATGCGATAGATGTAATGATCGATTCTATCACAAAAACAACGCTGAGACAATACGAATGTAGCTTAAAACGCTGGTGGGAATTCGCACATTTAGAAAAAATAGACTTATTTAATGCAAAAACGACAGAAATTATCAAATTTCTAAATAATCTTTTCAAGAAAAGTGCAAGTTATAGCACTTTAAATACTACTCGTTCCACAGTTTCCTTAATCTCAATATATGATATTTATAAGGATGGTTTAATTAGTCGGTTCTTAAAAGGAGTATTTAAACAAAGACCATCTATTCCAAAATACGCTACAACATGGGATATTACTCCGGTACTTAACTACATTGAAAAATTACACCCTCTTAAAGAATTGAATTTAAGGGAAGCTGGGGAAAAGGTGGTAACACTGCTAGCCTTAACAACCGCTCAGAGGCTTCAAACTCTATCGCTAATAGATATTGATAATATAGTGAAATCGGATACAGGGTTAAATATTAAAATTACAGAACGAATAAAAACTTCTAGGCCTGGAGCTTTTCAACCAGAATTAATATTACCATTTTTTAAGGAGAAACCAGGTTTATGTGTGGCATCTACAATCCTAGATTATATAGATTATACTAAAAAGTTAAGAAATAAAAATAACAAAAGGTTATTTATAGCAACAGTGAAACCCTTTGGTGCAATATCATCACAAACTATTGGTCATTGGATTAAAAGACTTTTAGGTAAAGCTGAAGTTGATACCAACCAGTTTACAGCGTATAGTACACGACATGCAGCAGTATCTGCGGCTTACAAGCAAGGAGTAAACATAACAGCTATAAGACGTAGTGCCGGTTGGGCACCAGGTTCACAAACCTTCTTTAAGTTTTATAATAAACCAATTCAGACTCCGAATGACCAATTTGCGCGTGTAATATTAAAAAATAAGAAGAATAATGTTAAAAAGTAAGTTCAATAAAGAAAATAAAGAATTATCACGCAAGCTCTAAAAAACTACAATAATATCATCGAGAACGAGACACATAATATAATTGAATGATCAAACGAGCCCGCCTTCGGCGGGCTCGTTTGATCAAAATTATATGAAGTGTCTCGTTCGAAGATGATAGGTTCTCCCCTCCATAAACATTGATTCCTTACCTTAAATTAAGACCCAAAAAACATACCCACTATCATCTTCCAGTTACCTCGTGATAATCCATGCTCTTACACAAAACAATATGAGGATAGGGGGACACCAAATGGCGGAAGGGCGCCAAGTTTTAAAAAATTATAAGCGCTAAACGTTGTGGTACTAGGCATGACAAGCATGACTACAATAATATCATCTTCGAACGAGACACTTCATATAATTTTGATCAAACGAGCCCGCCTTCGGCGGTATTCAATTATATAAATCTGCCTGTTAAAACACTAAGATACATATTAATTGCAAGGTTTCGAGTACTTTTCAAAACTGACAATTTGTGATTAATTTAACGTTAAATAAAAAATAATAATAAAATAATAAAGTAAAAAGATATGTTAGTGGTTTGTTTGTTATTTTTAAGAATAAAATTTTAATATTTGCATAAAAGTAATTGAATTTAATTGATAATTAATATGCATAGCTTTCTGTGCCAGTCTTTTGTCTAAATCAAAATGTCAATTAGCAATATTTCACACTCGTCTGATGCTCGTCTGATAGATAATTGAATACTTGCAAAAGTTCCATGAAAAATTTTTTAATGGCGGTGTTATAATAGATTGATATTATAAAGTGTAATTATAAACTATATATTTTGATTTATATTGGATTAATTATTCGAATGCATTCTACGATAAAAATAAAAAAATAATTAAAAATATCCGCGCGAAAGATAATATTTAATGATATGTTTAACAATTATATTAAACATATATGTTTAACAATGTAATGATATGTTTAATAATATAATAATTTATTAGCATTACACGAAAAAACTCATCGCATTTCAATAATTCATATCGTTTGACCGGATTCTCGGAGCGAATTCCAGAGTAGGAAAAAACATGTCAATATATCATCAACAAAAGTACGAAACTGTCATATATGCAATCAGCGTTCTTTCAATATGTATATTGTGTTTATAATTGATGTGTTACATAAAATCAAGGAAAAGCAAGGTTGCAATAAACAATTAGTTTATCACAACTAAAGTGTTTCTGATGCAAAATTTATTTCTTAAATATAAACTTTTTGTTATTAATAAAATAGAGAGAGCCTGTTTATATGAGGAATAGTATAACATATAAATTAAACTAATGTGTTTAGAAAAAAATCATAAAATAAGACTTGTAATGTTCTCTTATCAAAAACTTTAATATTCAATATATTTAAAGCACTTTTTTTTTTAATTTCTTAAATTCTTTATATATTATACATAAAGGTATAGATGAAGTTAATTTGCAAGGGTTTCTCTGATTTCTCTAGGATGTCACGCCAGATACAAACAGCACGATTACAACGGGAGATCGCGCATGCAACACAGTTTCGACCGGCGCTATACTTTTAGCAGATATTATTCCATCGTTAGCGATAAAGATTACGGCGCCATTTTTGCCGTTTTTAGTGCAGTGAGTATCCACTTTATCTTTGTTTTTCAACTGCGTAGCGCTATGAAATGCATTTTTATGCGTCCTAGCGTTATTCTATGATCATTTGTTGAAACGAAGTCAGTGAGCACTGCAAACGAACATTTTCATGAAATTTGCGTTTTATATTTATTCGTTATTAATTCATGACGATTGAATTAAACATGGTACAAAATTTATTTTTTTCTTTTTTTTACAAAGTATATTCTCATTTATATTCAACACAATTATTTATTTAGTTTATCTAATTTATCAATGATTAATATTCAAATCTATGTACTCTTCTTTTGAGAATATAATTTTTATCTGAACATATGTTAAGATTTTACGCTTGAATACTTCATACGGTAATTAGCAAATTGACAGCTCAATGAATAAAAATAAACGTGTAAAGATTAATTTACATTGTGATGATTGAATGACATATGTTTAATGATAACATGATGAAATATATCGACATATGTTCAATGACGTACACATTTCTAATTATTGGATTGCCAAAATAAAATGCAAATAATTCTAGAAGAAATAAAAAGATCATAATAACTATATTTTTAGATTTTAATTTGTATTGTTGTATTGTATTATTGTTGTGATTGTATTGTTTGAAGAAGTTTTTTATATTATTTAGTTATGAAAAATTAATAATAAATTTCTTTTGTTATGTACACATCAATTATACTTTATTGATAGAAAATATTTGTGTGATTAAAAAAAGGTGGAAGATATATGTTATGTGTAAAATTAATTAAGTATGAAATTCAGCGTGTAATCTGAGTATTTCTGCTCATCATCGCCTCTCTTTTTTGATACTATGTTTTTTTTTTTATTAAAATCTTCGGTGCACGATGCGCGGATGGTGGAGTCTCGGATTTCGTGTAAGTCTTTTTCGCGGTTGTGGAAACTCGGTCGGCCGCAATTGTCCAAACTCTAATCGATTAATCGACTCGTTAATTACAGTGCTCGACTGGCTACCTGTGTGTTATTTTCCGCTGCAGGATTCCTCATGGTATCGTTAAGCACTACTGAATGGCTTGCCATTATGGGCGTCGTTATAACATCGCTCTCCTCCGGCTTAGGCGAAGTTACTCTTCTCAGTTACAGTAACGAGTTTCATAAGTAAGTACACTCTGTTATTGTACTATAATCGTTTTTGTATCTATTATAACGGAAACTGAATCTTTTTATTATTCAATTGTCAGGCGGTGTTTAACATGAATAGTTTGTTGTTGCAGATTCTTATAAAATTAAAGTTAACGATCTTGGAATAGTATAGTTTTGATAATTCTTTCGATATAGCGAAAAAAGTAGCTATAAGTGTACATAAAATAAACTCTATAACTCAGAATAATAACGAAAACTCGAAGGCAACTGTGGCTAAAGTCTGATGTTTTGACTAACTGTGATATCAGCTGCAGATCTTGATAAGTGTCTAATTATCGTATGTTAAACAATGAAAATGATTAATATTTTAACAAAACACAACAAAAACATTTTGTTAATTGGTTTCTAATTAACATTAAAAATGCGAATACAATTCCACAAAATTTGAATATATAAATTAAAAATATAAATTATAGTTTTTTAAAGAATATTTAAAGCTATTGGCTCGATATTTTTAAAGCGATGCATTTGACAGTCGGAAATTGTTATTTGTGGTTATTAGGACAGAAATATTTTCAGAATACTAAATGCGTTGACATTTAGACAGTTGTGACACAGAAGTAGCGATAAGATAACACCAACGGCAAATCAACCACTTTCAAGTTTTAACGTAGAAAAATACAATAAACTTCATCGCGCGCAATTGATATGGAGAATACTAAGATTAAAAATGCGCACGTGTGAAACTTTGTCGCCGCACGTACGTCTATGTATAATTATACTAGTGGATAATTATGGGTTGCAAAACAACAGATGTAATAACTAATCACGCTAATCATTTTCTTGTAAAGAGTATACATATTATAATTGGAACATCTATTATGTGAGGATTGTTTTATTTTTTTTCATCCTAGATGATTGCAAAAGTATGGAAACGGAAAAGAGTTACGTGATATAATCGTTAGATAAGCAGCATTTAAACTCTATTCAGCGTAATTACATAATTAAACACTAAAAATTACAAAAAATATGAGATAAAATTACACTTAATATTGATTTCAAACTTTAATTTTATTTATTTGTATTTGCGTTTTGTTTTAACGACTTCTCAACTAAATGATTAATCGAAAATTTGTGTTTATTACTTATTGTTATTAATTGTTTTACAGAGATGTGATCTCGACATGGTCATCGGGCACAGGCGGCGCCGGTATAGTCGGCGCTGTGTCCTACGCTGGACTTGCTATGGTGTTATCTACCGAAAACACATTGTTAGTCATGTTGATTGTGCCAGTTTTGGAAGCGATCGCATTCTGGTGTATTCTCAAACATCCGGTGCACACCAGAATTCCGATCACGAAGGACGGTATCAATAGTCAAGAACAAATCGTCAAAGTTCCTAAGAAGAGTTTCAGGGATAAGATCAATTTGGTGCCTGGCTTGATGAAATACATGATACCGCTTGGACTAGTTTATCTGTTTGAATATTTCATCAACCAAGGCCTGGTAAAATAATATTTTTATCACAGTTTATAGATAAAATTCTTCTCTCCTTTTATTATATCCACAAATTTTTATATATTTATTTCAATTTTCTTTTCCTTTCTGATAAGGTTGGAAAATTTTGTGCGTTTGTGTTTTGTTAAGAATTACTTAAAGTAAATAACTAAATTCTTCTTTTAAATAGATAAAAGTTATATTGTTTAGTATTGTCTATAAAGTCATATCGCTTATTAAATATTTTTCTGGTTATAAATTACTATCCGACAATTAATTTTGCAAGTAACACGAGTGAAACATTTTACAGTACGAACTCATCGAATACGATGACATTTGGCTGACGCATGCCGAACAATACAGATGGCTACAAGTGGATTATCAAATAGGTGTATTTATTTCGAGATCATCGGTAAATTTAGTGAGCGTTAACAAAATTTGGATTATGTCCGTGTTGCAGGTAATGATTCAGACTCAAGAGAAATTGAACAAAGATATGACTTGTATGAATTCTGCAAAAAGTTGTTATTTCTTACGTTGATTTTCTTTTCAGTTTATTAACGTCATAATTCTTCTCTTTGAGGCTATTTATTATTACATACCATATATATGGATCGTTTTCATCATTGTATTGTGGGAAGGTCTGCTTGGCGGCGGGGCGTACGTGAATACTTTCTACAAAATATCAACAGAGGTGATAAAACTATTTTTTAAACAGAAGAGAAAAAAACAAATTTGAAATTAAATGCATGAGAATATAAAAATTAAATGCATTGAGTTCTTTTTGAATTTTAAAACTACGTAAAGGGATGAAAAAGATGTTTTACTGCATAAATAACTGGCAATATTTTTTTTTAAATATAGAATAAATAAATAAACATATATAATATGCCAAATTTTTTGTTCATAGATTCCGAGAGCGGATCGCGAAATTTCTCTGGGAATTACAGCGATGGCAGATGCGATTGGAATCACGTTGGCTGGATGGCTTTCCATGCCAGTCCATAATGCTATTTGTCGTCTACCGCAACCGAAACGATTAGGCGTCTAGAGATACGGAATTTATCTACCACCGAGTGTAATAATAAAATTAATACGAGCGGATACGTCTGCTTTTAAAAGTTCCTCCATATCGGCATTTCTAAAGAAAGATAACGCAACTCGTATCTTAGTGATTACATATAGAATGTAAGTGCTTCATCATATGATTGCGAGATTATAAAGCAATCAGCATACAGATTTGATCAATTTTTTGCAAAATTAGAGAAAATTTGCATCTGAAGAAGATGTTCAAGAATGCAAGCGGCACAGTCATAAATCTTTATCGTCAATTCTTAATACTATTTTACTTGTCTTGTATCATATTTTCTAAAAGAATTTTCTTAAACGCCGCTTCAATGTTCACTTTGCTATAACTATATCATTTAAGAATTTTCTTCTAGAACCATATTAAACAGTCTTGATTACAAATATTTAAGCTTTATTCAATACAAACGTTTAAAAGACTAAGAACAGAACATACAATATATATATTTCTATATAATGCATAATATGATGACATAGCACGTAACAAGGTTGTATATGACATACGAGCATCATCTGTGTTTTGATTGAAGAATTTTTTTTCGAGTATTGTATTGTATTATTGGTTTATTTATTTTATGATATGCATGCAACTTTTGAATTGTACTGTAATCTATTTTTTCTTATAATAATGTATCTAAATCTTGACTAGTACAATACTATTGTTTCCCCTTTTTTAATACATATCCAAAGATAAGTTTTGAAATTATTAAGTGTTTTGATTTTTTAGTAAAATTTTTTACATTGTTATGATATTTCAAGCTTACAGTGATGAAACGAAATGTTTATATAGTTTGGCATTCTCGAGCGTCCTAGAGCGTCCAAGATCCTGCACTATCAAATGTGATTCTATCGAATGTGCTGTTCTGTATTGTTTATCATTCGAGGATTTCCTCAGTATTAGTAGCTAGAGTTAATCTAATCAAGAACAATTTACAAATGCTCTTGCACATATCGTGATTAGATATAAAAATTATTAGTTTAAACTATATCTCTGTTTTGTTATATTAATTGCATTTATTATTTTGTGATTTAAGTGTATTGTCATATACATCTTTTGATTCAGTTATTATGATTTAATGTTATATTTTGATGCCGATTTTAATAAAATGGCTGTTAAAACACAAGATGATAAATATTTTTTCCAAAATATTTGCTGAAGTATTATGTGATAGTATCTATGATACAATTTAAAAAAGCAGCAACTCAATATCTTTCACTTTTATAGAAAATTTTAATCTTTTAATGTTTTAATAATCTATCAATAAAAATTATAAATGACATAATTACACGTTGTAAGTAAAATATAAATAAATAATAGATATTCTAAGCAATTTGAGAAAAAAAAATCCGTTTTTTTACGTAAAATTTTTAGTTGCTGCTTTTTGCATTTGTGCTATTATTGTGTTTAATAAAGCTTTGATTGCGTTTTAGTAACATTTAAGTCATTTCTACCTTTCGTATCAAAATATCTACAAATTAGTTTACTTTATTACGATCATGTTACTTCTTAAAGATAACGGATATTATCTCAATGTACAGCGAGTATTTTGCTTACAGTGAAATAAATATCTAATGACAATTTATCACAATAATTTATATTGTACTCACTTATACTTGCAGAATAGCTTTAACGGAAAGCAATTTTTCTCTTCTAATTGTAAAGTACTATATATAGAAGATTCTTGAAATATTTAGAAACTATATTTTTTTTATAAATCGTGTTTTTTTATAAATCGTTATTATATTTATTCGCTTATTTAACACTAGCGTCTGAGCGAGTTGTCGATTAAATACTGCTTACTCGCGATTTATGCATTACAAGCGTTTCTAATCAAATCATACTTCTTGCTAATTATATGTACGATACATTTCTCCAAAACATCTTGAATACATAAACATGTATAAAATTTTTTATTATAAAAAATTGTTATGTTCCAATCAAAATCATTCAACTTGTGTTTAAAACATTATTAGTAATAGTTTGAAGTAAATCAATTTAACTGTGACACCCTGTTTATGCACATGTATGTGTGAATATATGATTATGTACAATATACATTTTTTTTGTCTTCACAAATTCTAAAGTAACAAAAGTTATAACGAGTTATGCTTTTCATGTTTTCTACAAATAATAAAATATTTTAGATACAAGCCAATGGATCTTATTTTTTATTTTATTTTTTTCTGAACGTCTGTTACATAAATTAGTTAATAATTTAACAAACTTTAGTAGTCATGGATACGTTTAACAATTGGCGAACCGACGTGGTGGCGATATGCCAAGGATGTTATGTCGGTCGATTATCAGTGAACTCTCTCTTCTCGAGAAAAAAACGGTCCCATGCGATGTGACGGGCGCAAGTGAAAACGATCGTGCGACGTTTACAAAATCGACGAGTGACAGAAGCAATTGCAAAAATGACAGAAAATGAAAATGGCATACAAAATGAAAATAAAATCCATACAAAGGTTAAAAAATGGTTTAATTTTAAGACATAGTTGAAGTGGATGAATATCGCATTTTTTTTCTTTTACATGGTGGTTTCCTGTATGTGTTGTTTAATTTTAATTAGCTTGAAAAATGGGTAAGAATTTCGTCGGGGCAGGGGAAAGAAAGGAAAACCATGCTTCTCGCAATGTGTTCTTTATTATTATGCTGTCGCTATATTCTCCCTCTCATCGATCTACGCAGTGGATCGTGTATCACTCCGCGCCGCGGGTGCGTGCGGCGCTGTATAAGCCTTACAAATTATTAATCCTCATTGCTCAGTTTTATTGTTCGCTTCCGATACAATACTCCAATGACTTCCGTCTCCTTTTTCCTAAGGACAGTTTTCACGAGTTCCGCTGATGGTTGCTTGAGATCGTATGCCCAGCCGATCTTCGCGAATAGGTCAATGTACATCGTGACTATATTCAATTTATAATCTCCTAATTCAGCCGCCTTGTAGTCCCATGGG